TACGCAAATTCATTGATCTTTTCAAATCTTTTTTCAAATTTCCAAAATTTTGAAAATTTTCCGAGATATTAAGAAAAAACTAAAGCCCCATTTTTTTTTCACCTAATTGTTTATAACTTTTGTAATTTTTATCGGTGCGTTTTCTGACCTTTCCTCAAACTTTCTAGGCAAAAATACGAATCGAATGACACCTTGGTGGTAATTTTTGGACAGGGCTGAAAAATGTTACAAAAAAAAGTACATGTGAACTAGACTATTACAGGTATTGGTGTTTCTATTTCAAATCAATTCTGATATTGGGATTCTGAAACAGTTTTTGCATTAAATATTTTGCAGGTAAGATTGGAAAAACATATTTGCTTTATCAATTTCTTGCAGGAGTTTGTTCAGCACTATATTTTTGAATTTGTTTTTCGTATTGTAAGTATGTTCAGTTTGTTAAAATTCGCTTATTTTTGAAAGTGTGAATGATTAGGTTATATATTATCATAAGTTCAACTGGTGCTGTTTCGAGTTGAGCTATCAAGCAGAGCAAGTGAGATCTTGACAAAACGTCGTGATGATGTCAAAGACGAACAGATGTACGCCGAAATGGCAGTTCAGCATTCATGATTCACATAAGTGAAAAAACCTATTGGTGTGACACCCAAGTAAGTTAGTGGTTTGACAAATATCTGTAACAGACAACTGCATTAGCATGAATTTGTGAAGCTCTCCTGGAATGCCACCAAAAAAAATCCACATGTTTCAAAAAATGACATAATATCAAGTAAAGGTTAATGCAGTCAAGTTGCACCATTATATTTCCAGGCTCAAAACATAACTAACTATATTTCCATGAGACACACATACGAATAAAAAAATGAAAATAATTTAAAAATCTGGTGTGCATACAAAACAAAAAACAATAATGAGATTCATGTGAAACACTTTTATTTATGGTTTTAGCTTCTGAATTATAACTGAAATTTCCTTGTTCATATAATCAGAAAAAACGTTCTCGAATAAAAACATGAAAACCCCTCCAATATCAACCACTTTTTTCATGTTTTCACATTCAACAAAGCATGATTTTCTATGGAAGTGCTCAAAGCACTTCATCATGAAATTTTTTCATGAGGTTGACTCAAAGCCAAAATGAAAGAAATCGAGGTTGAATTAGAATATGAACATAACCTTCACATAATCAACTGCACTATCAGTATGAAAATACTAACTGGGTTAGGTGAACTTTAGGGTCATGAAGATTCTGGTCAAGACGAAGTGCAAATTATTTTGCTGAAAGACTGTTGATTCACACTTGCAAAATCATTACAAGGATTCTCCTCTGAAATTTGGTTCATTTCCATAGTGAAGGAAATCAAGTTTCTTAACGCCAATTCACGAATCTCGTGATGATGTGAAACATAGAGAATCCTCCAGTCAATATTATGAAAACTTTCGCGTAAAAAAATCGGGGATTCCGTTAGAGAAACAACATGAAATTGCTAGAGGTAGATCAACAACTTTCAACCTACTATTGTTTTTACAGTGACTATGTTGACACGTCATTTTAACGAAGGATCACCAAAAACTCAAACTAGTGTGAATGTATGAACCATATTTTCATAACTTATTTGCATTTTGGAATCAGATTCATTGAGTCGTGTGAAAACTTACTTCAAGAGGTGTGATAATTTAGTAGCATGGATAAACCCCAAAGTGTCAGAAAGTGATTTTTCTCTTGAAAAAATGACTAATCGAATGGCACGCCTAAAGAAAGAAGAGACATCTGCTAGCTCGACATTGTGAAAAATTGGCAAGTGGTAGAGAAAATTAGAAGCGGCTTATGAATTCTGGATGTAGCTGATTCAACAATTGTCTCCATTAATTATGACAAAAGTAGTATCTTTGCTTTTTCTCTGGGGAAGGTCACATTTTGACTTTCAGTTTAGAACTACGTCGTAGTTTGGAACTACGACGGCCTCCGAACCTGACTGTAGATCTTAACACTTTTACATCAAGCCATGAGACAAAGATATCTTTCTTGCTGAAAACGCTACCGACAAATGATTTTTACCTACTTTGCCATGACTGCTCTAACATTGTTGGCGAATAATTTAGGGTCCCTCTTCTCTTCTTCACTGGGAGTATAAACTGGAAGGAATTCTATTTCGCAATTGCTGTATGGCTGTGTGAGAGTCAACCATAAAAGCTTCAACCTGAAAAACATACATGAAAATGTAAGCTTGTTTGAAAGTGGCTCACAATGCTTTTTGGTGAATGTTAGAGGTATAATATTTCTGAATAAAATTCGTAATATTCACCTCTTTCAACAAAGTAAGATGTGGGGAATAACTCTGGAAAGCAAACACTTTCCACACTTATACCATCAGGCACTGAATTATGCCCGGCAGACATTTGTGCTAGTGGAAATCTTTTAGATATAAATAGATAGATTTTTATTCAGGTTGATATCAGTATTACAAAGTTAATATGAATACATATTGAGTAAATGATGTAGAATATTGTATTCCTAGCAGCTTAAGCTAGCTTGTATTGTGCCCCTCTGGCTGCTAAATTCCATCTGAACATATAAGATATAGGTATATGCCATTGTACTAATGTTATCTAACTGAAAAGGTAATTTAGTTTTAGAAAACAGTTTGAATAGAGACATATGTTTGTAAAGTATACACTGATGGAGGTTTCTGATTCAGTAGTTCTCAAAGATATTTTTCAGTTGATTACAATGGTTTTGAATGAATAGTTTTATTATTTTTTGAGTTTTTTGTGGCTATTGATATTTTTTATATGTGTAGGTAGCTGATTGTATAGTTTAGGACCAGTGACAAATTTCTGGTTGTGAGTTAATCTGCAACGTGGACATATAGTAAAAATAGTATGGGGCCCATGACAGTTCCCTGTGGTACACCCCTGGTAATAAGCAGTGGATCGCTATAAGAAACGTTTATTTTTCTCTCTGTATTCTGTTTGATAACTAATCTTTGAATAAATTCAATGCAATGCCTCTTACTCCCACGTTCTCCAATCTCTGAAAGAGTAAGTTATGTTCGACGGTATCAAACGCTTTTGTCAGGTCTAAAAATACAGCTGAACATTTCTCCTGATTTTGAAAGCAGTTAAATACCTCATTTACTAGTTCAAAAACAGGTTGTCCTGTTGATAAGTTTTCCCTGAATCCATATTGGTAGTCGAAAAGGAGTATGTTGTTGTCAAGAAAGTTTACCAAACTGTTTTTTAAACATTTCTCAAATATTTTCGCGAAATTGTTCATAACTATCATGGGTCTATAGTTGTTTTTTGTTCGTCTCCAGATTCATGAATTGGGATTGTAATGGATTCTTTAAAGGTAGTTTCGTGGTTTCCCCTCATCAGTGCAGGACAAATCTAACTAAAAACCATATACGAAACCTTTGTCTGAGACAAAAATCTGTCAACTATAAAGAAGTGCTGAGTTCCATTTTCTAAACAAAGTTCCTAGCAAGAAAATAAACGCATGTGTTAAAAAAATGTTTATTATTTCGAATTTTATTACAAAGAAGGAATAGAGAGGAGGGAAATCGCGCCTATTTGATATATCAGTAGTTTCTAATTATTATGAGACATCACTTGAAGATGATATCAGTTCTGTTCTCTTGCAAAATACGAGAGATAATGTATTTAACATAAACATGATGTTATCCAGGCAATTACTCTTTTTGCACATAAAAAATTTTAATTTTGCGTTTCCGTGATCAGTGTTTCGTTTAATGACATTGCATGTTGATACTGACAAAGATTTTTGGAAGAACTGAATAAAATGAGGATAGGTTGACATTTCAACAAGAATATGCACCTATTCTTTGATAGTATTTGTTAAATCATCTGGAAATGGAAATTTTAACAGGTGATGATCGACTGTATTGCCAAACATGCGCCAAAATAACTGACTGTTATGAGAAAACAAGTATAGCTGAGGCACCAGTCAATCTAATAATAACACTGATGATCTTCAAACATGACTCAACCTCTGACGGAAGTATCAAACTCTTGGGAAGGTTCGAAATAGATAAACACTTCAATCTAGCAGACCACTATTATAATCTTCATGCAGTTATTGTTCACTGTGGTTGTGGTGTTGAATCTAGTCATTATTATTGAGTTATACCGGCCAGAGCTCTAATGGCTCTTTTCTGGATAATAAATATCGACTGAGTGTAGCAAGATTGGCCCCAGTTAATTAGACTGTAAGTCATAATACAGTGAAACATTCCATGGTAAGCTGAGATGGCTGCCTCCAAGTTCAGTAGCTATTTCATTCGTCTAATTGCAAATATTGCTTCTGATAACTTGCTTGTTAATTGATTCATATAAAGTTTCCAATTTAAGTTGGAATCAATAATATGTCCTAGAAATTTTAGGCTCTGATTAGCAGTATGCTTGGTATTGAAAATAAGTGTCTGAGTCTCGCGTGTGTTCAAGCTTGGTTCGTTTGCCGTGAACCACTCAGTAGCTTGATTGATGGTCGATCCTATCATTTCATCAATTCTTGTGGAATTATTTTCAATTCTGGTTGCGAAGGTAGCATCATCGGCAAACAAGGTTATTGATGCGTTTATGCTTTTGGGTAGGATAAATCAAGAACAATAGCGGTCCCAAAACGCTTCCTTGCGGAACACCTTTACGTATTATCAGATTTGAATTGCTCTGATTATTACAGTGAACTATTTGGGATCTATTTTGAAGATATGATGTCATCAGTTTTATTGCGGAGTCAGAAAATCCATAGAATTTTAACTTGTCAATTAGTATAGTGTGATTGACACATTCAAACGCTTTACGGAGGTCAAGGAAAACCGCCAGAGAGCGAGTTGCGGCTTCAAACACATCGGCTACAAACTCAACAAATCTTCTCACTGCTTTAGCTGTAGATTTTCCTTTCCTGAAACCATACTGATGTTTTGAGAAAAACTGTTCTCCTCGAAATAATTGATTATTCTCAGCTAATTTTGCTGAAATAGGTAGGAGAGCTACTCCTCGGTAATTATTCAGATCTTCCCTGTCCCCTGATTTAAATATTGGAATTATTTTCGCTATCTTAAGGTTTTCTGGAGAAATATTGTCACACAGAATGGTGTTTATAAGGAATTGGGCTAACAAGAGACACAATATTTTCTTTATATATCACTGTATCATGTTCATAATATTCATTTTCGTTACCTCGCCTTCTCCGTAGGGTCAAAATTTGAAAACTATTCTTGGAACAGATATTTTTGACACAAAAATGGCAGGATAGATCGCTCCTTGCCGAGGCTGTGAAAACGGCAGAGTGAAAAATGTTCTTAAACAATTTTCCTTTTCGAAATAAAAAATCGGCCTTGAACCCTGTATAATAGTTGACAAGAATAGTATTCGACTTACGCACTAGGTCCTTCCCATGTCCATGTAACGGTGTCCAATCTGTTGGGATATCGAATACACACAGGCTGAATCGGCACACCGGGATAAAATGCACCTTAAATTTACAAAAAAATAAAATCAAAACAAATATTAATATATCGGTTTGAATTTCAGAAATGAATGATACTGAAATCACATTAGTTGAACATAATGGACGTAGTTGAAAACCATAGCCCGAATACAACGCATTTATGATTCAACACAAGCCAGCGCTGTTTCTATCCGCCATAAGTCCCACCAGTGGTGCTAGGCTGAACCACAAATGCGTTGCTTGACTCCACTTTATCAAATGACAAGCACGTCTTGTTCATCTTTTACATTTGAAGAATACCTTTTTCCGTCGATCCCATGGATGGTGTCTTTGTAAGGGATAGAATGCCATCGACTTTACTAATAATGATAATAATTATAATGTTTTTATTTTCAGTGAAAAATATGATGTTACATGGTATTCGCCTTGCTAGTCAGAAATCCCAAGGGGGAGTTTACCCGAGGGTGCTCTACCACTCGACCCTTGCTATTTTTAATGATAATATAACTCAAAGAACTAACCTAAGATCCTCAAACATAAATCTACATCACACAGTTTTTGGCATTTGTTGGGTAACTTGAATATTAATCAACAACAAAAGAGAAAAAGGTTATTGGAAGATAACGAAATTTTTCTCCAGTCTGTGTCAAACACAGACTGGAGAAAAAATAAAGAAGGATATACAAAATAGAAACACATTAAATTATGCTAATTTGCAGAAAACTCTTGAATTCTTTTTTGAATTCATCAATATCACTGTGTCGAGTACGAAAAACTTCTCTGAAAAATTGAGGTTTTGTGTTGCGGGCACGTGATTATATTTTCGTTTCTCAGAATTATGTTGTGTATGCTGACCTGAATGTTGATTTGCGATACAAAGAAAGCGGATTTCTGTATAATATATTGAATGAAATTTGAACCTTCCTTTCATGGTTAACCAGTTCAGTTCCGTAAGCTTGTGGGACATATGTTCATACATCCTTATTTTATATATCTTACGGATACAAGAGTTTTGAACACGTTATACTCTGGAACAAGTATTGTAGTCAAGGTTAAGGTCCACAGACCAAAGAACAATAATTGAATTGTGATAAAACTAGAGACTCATATAACATTTTTTATCGATAAATTTTGTGAGGATATAGTAATATTCGTGCACCATAGACTCTTTGAATAATTCCATTGATATGTTCTCTAAACCTTAACGACTCGTATAAGATTGAACCAAGAATTTTTGCCTTACTTTCAATTTCAATAACTCCGTTACTTAGGTGCAGTTTCAAGTTATTTTCAACTAACGGTATACGAATATTGCTACCAAATACTTGTGCTACTGATTTTTTCGAAGCACACAAAATACTGTTCGGCTACATTTGATATAGTTTCAGAGTCATTGTTCAACTTTGTAGCAGCGTTGTCAAGATCATTACCATCGAAAGGGTGGTATAACTGTATGTCATCAGCATACATGTGCATTTAATAATGTTGAACACGGTTATGAAATTGGCTAGTATAAAGTGTGAAAAAAGCGGTTCCAGAACTGAGCCCTGAGGTACTCACAAGATGAAATTTCTAGTTGAGGATAATTGATATCCAAATCAACCGCTTTGTGTACGATTGGTGAGATATGACTGTCAGAGCTGAACAGATTCCGAACAGATGCTTTAGTCTCATGTCTAACCTTATCGAACGCTTTACTGAAGTCAAGCATTACCAATACTGTTATTTTTTTTCATCGAGTGATCCAATGATATCATCTGTTGCTTATAAAAGAACCGTCGTGCAGTTATGTCCCTTTCAGAATCCCTACTGAGTAGATGGAAAGATTTTAGTGTCATTAGGATGTTCAGATAGTTGGCTGGCTAATATTTTCTCGAAAAGTTCAGATAAGCCAGTCGAAATGTTTATAGGCCTGAGGTCAGAGTAATGGAATAGGGGAAATAATAGCAATGTTTCAAGTAGAGGGATAGTTGGATGACAATATTACACTATTGAAGAAATGTATCAAGAAAGGCAAGATGTAAGGACAAACAATTTTTATGAAAGCCATAATTATCCTATCAGAGCCAGCAGAGCTGTTTTCAATTCCTTCAAGGAATTTAGGCTCTATACGAGGGTTGCCTTTTATATTTCGTGATTAGAGAACAAAAACAAATATTGATAATCGAAAATCACTTCATTGTTTTTCAAAATATTCCCCATGAAGATCTATACACTTCTGTATGCGTTTGAACCAATTATCGAAAATGAAGTCGCCCCGGAACGCCAATTAATTTTTATTGTTGTTTGTATTTTATTTTTATCGTTGTTTTAATAACATCCTCAATTATTATCGAAGCACTTTTGCCACTCTGATTCAGGTATCTCCAAAACATGCATTCTGAATGCAGCAACCACTTCTTCAGGTGTCGAAAAATGTTGACCTCTCAGTTTGTTTTTTACGCGCGGGAATAAAAAAAAGTCATTTGGTGCCAAGTCAGGACTATACGGCGGATGACTCATCAAATCGATGTTTTGGGTGCTCAAAAATGCAGTTGTTTGAGCCGATCTGTGAGAGCTCGCATTGTCGTGGTGAAGAATGATTCCTGATTTCTTGGAAGGCAACTGGCAAACAAATGGTTGCGTACCACTCAGAATTGACTGTTCTGCGTTGTTCTAGTGGTACGGTTGCGACATGTGCAGTTTTTCTGAAAACCATTTGCGCTTTGTGCGCGAACGACTTTTGTTGGATTTGGCTCGTCTTGAAACAATCATACAGTCGACTGCTGTTTACTTTCGGGCTCAAACGCGTAAATCCACGATTCATTACCTGTCACGATGTCATAGACGTGTTTCGAAGCACCGCGATTGACTTTTTTGAGCATTTTCTTCGACCAAACGACACGAGCCTTTTTTTGAGCGATTGACAAATTATGTGGAATCCAACGCGAACAAATTTTTTTGACAGTCAAATGTTTATGCAATATTGAATGTATGCTGGTCCCACTAAGGCCTAAGATTGTCTCAATCTCACGATAAATCACATGACGGTCTTGCAATATCAATTCGCGCATAGCATCAATGTGCGCATCAACTACGACCACGATTGAATTCCCCATACCATCGATAAACACTGGTCCTTGATGGAGCTTCATCGCCAAAAATTAAATTGAGCTCATCCATGCACTGTTGCTGAGTTAATCCACGTCGAAAGTTGTAGAAAATAATCGCAGGAAAATGTTCACGATTTAATTCCATTTTTGGATCGCGATGAATCTTTTAAGCTACTGTAAACAACACAAATAGTGCGCATGTCTCAAAATGTTCTGAGTACGCATACGCTCAAAAATCAGTTGCCAGATTGCAACACTAGGGTTCCCAAATCCCGAAACATAAAAGACAACCCTCGTATCTTCATCTATAAGTTGAAAACTAAATTCTATTCCACAAACGACAATATTATCGTGAGTACTTAGGTATGCTATCTATTAAGCAATTATTTATTGCATTCGCAACTTTGAACACATTTGTTATATCCTTAACATTATGTTATGAAAAATCTGTTTCTTATCTGTTTTTCCGTTAACCAGCTATCGCACCCCTACGAATGACAACCCTCAGAAGTCAAAACTTGTGCGAGCTAAGAATTAACGAGGCTTACCTTTTAACCTGTGATTCCTAACACGGAATCTACTAACATTATACTGATAATACCTGTAAACCAAAAGTAAGTAACAAAATGACGAAGTACCTGGTTTAAATGTGATGAGACAGGATCTGTTCGTACATGTCCCTTCAGGAAAAATTAAAATCTGTGGCCAATCCAAATCAGAGGTGGCTCTGTTGATAATTTCTTTGATGGTGTTTTGGCGGGAATCCGGATCATCCCTCCACACGTAGACTGGCTGAGTGAAGTTTATCAACTCTGAAACGGTAGAATTAAATCAGTTTCGATTAACGTTGAGGTGCTGTAAGAAAGTTATTCATTTATTACTGTTATAAAATCTTTTCAATCAAATATGTAATATGTAAAATTTTATGAAGTTCTCAACTGAAACTTTTTTTGTCGAAATGATTTTCAATGACTAAAATAGAGATAGGATTAGGAATAGAAAAAGAAATGAAAATGGGGATGGAATCTCATTCCAAGTAGGGCCGTCGCCATGGGGGGATGTGGGGAGCCTTCTCCCCTGCTTTTTCGACTTGGGAAAAAGTTTGGAAATTTTGGGCCGTGAAGATTGAAAAAAATAATGGTGAAAAAATAAATAAAAATTGAAGAAATTAAAATGGAAGAAAAGAAAGAAGGTAATAAGGAAAGAAACAGGAGAACTGTGCACCATCTTGTTGAAATACAATATCCATGCCGAATTCATTAGGATTCGCTTCGACGATTTCAGTGATTAGAGGGTCGACAGTAGTTTCCAGCATATTCAAATACAGTTCCCCTGTTGAATGTTTATCAATGAATAGAGGTCCTATAATATGATTTTCCAATATTCCTGCCCAAACGTTAAATTTTTCCGGGTTTTGGTTATGTGTTTTCCGGAAAACGTGAGGGTTGGTGTCATCCAACGCGTTCAGTGCTGTAGTATCAAAGGATTCAACAGTACCACAGGCATCGGATTATTTATAAAAAACGGTCGAAAATTGATATTGTGTTTAGTTTATTCGCTGTTGTTATTATTGTTTTTAGTTTTTGTACTTAGTTATTGTTTTTTGTTTTATTATTGAGTGATTAGAAAATGGGAGGTGTAAAAAAGACATTATTATATGAGCGCACGCCTATGGTGAAAGAACGAAACTGGCTTTCCATTTCATTTCGAGGTCACCGAGAACTTTGTGAATTTATGAATGAAAGTAGTGGGAGTGGCCTTAGTAGTTGATTTTTACTGTCGAAACGGTGATGTCTGGTGTTGAATCACAAATGCGTTGTGTTACCTGTTTTTTCAATTGACATTGAGTAGTTGGTTCATTTCAAACGGTTCGTAAATGAAAAAAGTACTCAAAACAGTTCAATGGAAATACTATTCACTTGATTCTATTGAAACTTTTGGTAAACTATATTCATAGTTTCAACTTTTCTTCGTTATGAAACCTGGAAATATTCATAAATTAAGTTATATGCGATCCAAGTAGCGGCACTGAATAAAATTTGTTACAGTTTTTATTGTAGATATTATTTCAATATGTTTACAATTTTATTGCAAACGAAGGCGATAGTGGAAACTAGAACATTGGCAATAACATTGTCAGCATAAAGTAAGTATTGTTTTATTTCAAATACATGTGTAATACCATTGATGAAATTAGATGTAGTCCTTAATTCAAAAACGAAAAGACATGCAGGATTCACATGGGGCATGCGATGAAATATAATCATTAAATTATGCATATGCTCAATGTCAACTCGTGAAACGTGTTATTCTGTTCAAATAAATGTTATACAGGATCATGTGACTGAATAGTAAATATTATGCGAAATATTATGCATCTAGTGTTCTGTGGCACAATTTTTTTTTGATAACGAAGAAACACATATTCATATTCATCGCTATTTTCAACCAGAATTTTTGTAACAAATATAAGTTGGATTCATTTTTGAAAACATGATTTCATAAAGTTGTTATAGTATCTTCTTGTTACTCAAAATATTTCACTATTCTCACAAAATACTTTCAAACTACTGGTAAGTGTTCATTCAATTTATGACAATGACAACCACCTGTGAGTTTCTTCTACCGAGGTCTAATTATTAAACATCTTTCAACTCAGACAGTTAATAAGTGTCCTAATTCATATCGCCTGAAAACAGGAAATTACCAACTCCCTAACATCGCTGATTTACTGATGATTAAAAAAAACTGATTTTTAGAACAGCAAAATGAAAGTGTGTACTAGTTAACAGCTCATTATCATTCAATCCGAGATTAAACACCTAATATTACTGGACTAATATAACCTTCAATTTGGAACAAATCGTGGTTGCGAGGCAGTAGCCCATGCTGCACGATCTTATATCAATCAAAACCTTAACCCAATTGAAAAAGTTTTTCTGAAACTTGATTTTAAGAATGCATTCAATACTATAGACAGGAATTTCATATTACATTCGGTGGCTAATGCCATACAGACATATACCCTTTTATTGAACAATATTACAGTGAACCTTCTTTCTTAATATTTGGTAACGAAATTATAATGTCCGAACAAGGAGTACAGCATGGAGATCCACTTGGACCACTATTGTTCTGTCTTTCTATCCATCATATTATAACTAAAATATCCACTGAATTCATTTTAACCTAATAGCTCCTGGTATACGAGTGATTGAAAAACCCGATTGGTTTCTTCTTGGTGCCCCATTATCTGATGATGCCTTGAAATTTTGTTCGGAAGAAAAATTACAATCACTTCGTATCACATCAGGACGTTTGGCAAGACAAACAGGGATTACAAAATATCGATGACGAATTGAGAAGGATGCTGAAACTCATCACTAATAACCGTATCGTAGACGAAACTTGGTTACAGGCATCACTTCCAGTTTCTAGAGGAGGATTAGGAATTCGTTCAGCCACTTCACTCGCTTTGCCATCATTTCTGACCTCATTTTGCAGTGTTTCCGATCTGATAGAAATCATCTTACAATACCCAAAGCTACTATCTGATTGTGTTTTTGATCGGGGAAAATCTCTTTGAGAATCTAGAACTGGCCAAACAATGAAAATTGAAGACATCAAAAACCAGAGGGCGTGGGCTAAACCATTACCAGATCAAGCAACTAGTATTTTACTGAAGACAGCTTCTGACACTTTGAGAAATAAGTCTCGTCTTCTCGCAGTAGCATCACTTGGGACTCTATTGGATGACGACTCTTTCAGACTTGCCATCGGATTTCGACTTGGTACACCACTGTATGTTCAACACTTTTGTAAATGTGGTGCATTTCTGGATGAATCAGGTACTCATGGGTTGAGCTGCCGTTTTAGCGCTGGTCGTTTATCTCGCCATTATGCAATTAATGATCTAATCAAAAGAGCTTCAACTTCAGCAAAAATTTCTGCGATTTCAGAACCAATATGCCCAAGTTAAGACGATGGAAAACGGCCGGATGGCTTGTTTCATGGAAAAATGGTGAATCTGTTGTTTGGGACTTTACTTGTGTAGATACATTAGCAACTTGCCATATTCCTGCTACTTCTGCGAAAGCCGGTGCTGGTGCCTCTTCAAGAGAAAGTTCCAAACTACGAAAATACCAGAATTTAGAAAATGATTATATCTTTCGCCCAATAGCTGTTGAAACGTTTGATGCTTTTGGCTCTGAAGCCTTATCTTTCATCAATGAAATTGGAAAAAAGGTAATCGATGAAACCCACGAATCAAGAGCCACATTTTTTCTCATACAGAAAATCAGTATAGCCATCCAAACAGGAAATGCAGCTTCTTTTCTCGGTACTCTTCCTGACTCCAAAAAACTTGATGAAATTTACATATTTCCTGAAAACCAATTTTTGATTTTTATACAGGTCGATATCAGTATAACAAAGTTAATATAAATACATATTAAGTAAATGATGTAGAATATTGTATTCCTAGCAGTCTGTATTCCTAGCCAAGTTTGTATTGTGCCCCTCTGGCTGCTAAATTTCATCTGAACATATAAGATATAGGTATATACCATTGTACTAATGTTATCTAACTAAAAAGGTAATTCAGTTTTAGAAAACAGTTTGAAGAGAGACATATGTAGGTAGAGTATACACAGCTGATACACAGCTGACAATAATGGTTTTCAATGAATAGTTTTATTATTTTTTGAGTTTTTTGTGGCTATTGATATTTTTTATATGTGTAGGTAGCTGATTGTATGGTTCAGGACCAGTGACCAATTTCTGGTTGTGAGTTAATCTGCAACGTGGACATACAGTAAAAATAGTATGGGGCCCATGACAGTTCCCTGTGGTACACCCCTGGTAACAGGCAGTGGATCGCTATAAGAAACGTTTATTTTTCTCTCTGTATTCTGTTTTATAAATAATCTTTGAATAAATTTAATGCAATGCCTCTTACTCCCACGTTCTCCAATCTTTGAAAGAGTAAGTTATGTTCGACGGTATCAAACGCCTTTGTCAGGTCTAAAAATGCAGCTGAACATTTTTCCTGATTCTGAAAGCAGTTGAATACCTCATTTGTTAGTTCAAAAACATGTTGTTCTGTTCTGAATCCTGTTCTGTTCTGAATCCATATTTGGAGTTGAGCTGTCCTGGCACGTATTAGGTGTTCTAATTAGAATATTGTTTATTTCTCAATTTGTTATTGTTCCACATTATTTGCTATACCAGTACAAGATGATAGAACAAAATTGCTTCACGAAATTTACAAAATTGCTTCACGAAATTCGCAAACCTACAATTAGCGGTGATTACTGCGATCAATTGGAACAAACCGCACATTTGATGTGATTAATGCCTACTACTTCTTCACGAAAGATAATATCACTCATCTAGAAAAAATTACGAAAAGAGAAAGTATGCATGATTTGTCGTTAAGTATTCGAAAAATAATCATACTGTTACTTGAATTTCTTTTTAGTTAATCTCTGGAGCAGGTTGAATATGAAACGAGTACTAATGAAAAATATAAACGGTTTCCCAGGTATCCCAAGAACTACAATTTATGATGTGTCACAAGGTACTGTGTTAGGTCCCTTATCATCGGTTGTATATTCAAACAATATATTTCAAGTCAACAGCACTGGAGAAATGATACAATTTCAAGATGACACCGTCATTAAAATCAACTCATACCAGTTGCTGACCACAATATCACAACACAGTAACCATGGTCTTATTTTGGTGGTTCAAACCTTTGGGAAATATCTGGGTGACTCACTAGCGATATATAATGCTCCTAAATCTCAGGTCAATATCGATCATATTCTACATACTCAGTTCGTAAAATCAACACAGCCTCATTGATCTTTCCAGTTGTCCAATCTTCCACCGACAAGTGCACCAGCTCGCCAGCTTATGAATATGGTTGATTATATCAGGTTCAAAAGTGGTTGGAACATGATTTAGAACCCTAGGAATAGGGTGGGGTGCTGCAAAATCAACTCCTGAAGCCAATAACAAAAATATTACCACCAGCTCCTGAGGAGCTGTAAGAAACGATGTGGTGTAAGTTGCAATGCCATTTAGCTTGTGGCCACTGCAATGGATAAGCTTGAATCAAACCAGTCGCTGACCACGATACAACAACACAGTAACCATGGTCTTTTTTTGGTGGTTCAAGTCTTTGGAACATGCCTGGGTGACTCATCGGTGTCCAATCACTGTCCTAGACGTCTCCTTTTGTTGTGGAAGACCCATTTTTTATCACACGTGACGATCCGATCTAAAAAAAGATTGTTCTGGTTGCACTAAAGTAAAGAGAAACGATCTGCAAATCGTTTAAATCGTCGGAAAACAATTTATCGAGCTTTCTAACCATTTCAACATGTTCCAAACCATCAAAAACCGCATGGGAGCCAATGCCCAGTCCATTGCCAAATGCCTGGTTAATTTTTCGGTCTGTTTCGGCTGCGCTTTGATACAATTTGAATCCGTAGAGAAAAACTAGTCAAAAATCTCTCGAAAAAGTAATGAGCTAAAAAGAGGCAAAGGCATGAAATCAGAATTTGGGAAAAAAATTAACAGCATTATTGTAAAATTCTTTATCGAGCAGTATATATCACCTCACAGTAGAATAAATATTTATCAAGAAATGGAGCTACCAGAAGACATGATATTGGAAAGGACAAAACTTCTTTAAACCTAATATACAGCTTATCAAATGTAGGAAGAGACTTGAGGATTATCTCTCTCTCTCTCTCTCTCTCTGTCGTACTCACCCTTTTCTAACGAATGCACGTCTAGTGGGCGGGACATTTGACAAACTGTTAGTGAAAGCTATGAGCATAACGGATTCTGCTTCTTGGTGACAAAATGTATAATAATGATAAATTACTAGCTGAATAGGTCTATTTTATACAGTAACTTTTCGTAAAGAACTTTTCATTTTGACCTCCATTACACTTGAAAAAAAGGTTGAAAACACAGAAGAGATCAAGTAAGAGTTACTCTTTCACAAAAATAATATCTTTCAAATCTGTCATGACATTATTTTTAATATATCCGCTTTGAGGAAGCGAGTTTCCATTTCGATTGTAAAACAAAATCCTTGTTGAACTATTGCTTATACTATCTCATCCTCAAATAACAAAACTTTGAAATGAAACATACTTCCTATGTGGTTATTAGCCCCACTTTCACGTCTACAAATTGTTGATGGAAAACCGGTGATGTAGACGATTCCGCCATCTAGAAAAGTGGAGTGAGGAGCAGCCACCAGGATGGGGGCTTCACGTTTACTAGCTTGTCTGCCTTTTACGGTCATACTCATACCTCCAGCTCTAAAGCTGCTTTTTCCAAAGAAGCATACCAAGTGTTTCATTTTCCTATAGTGAAAAAAAAATGGTGAAATGATTTTCCATTCCTCCGATCCCATTAGTTAGTGAGTGATATTTACATATTTACAATGTTCGCCCAATTTCCCATTATGGAGCAGCCAGATATTTTGGCCTCAATACTCTTTCACAGATCCTCCCACTGTGACTGCTTGTTATAACAATTTTAACGAATGTGTCTAAATCACAAAGTTGTTTCGAGAAAAATAGTTTCATAATGCAATACATGTAGTTCGTTATAGTTGAAGTTATAGTTATAGTTGAAGTTATGTTACCAGTGAAGAGCTCAGTTTTGCATTCAGCGCAAAAGAGTGAAATTCGGAATTGTAATATTGTTATAGATTTTTCTAACGTTCTACTTCAACAACGTGAAGGAAAAATTGACATGTCAAGAAAATAATTTACGCGGAACTCGAGTGGACTATTTCTACTCCATTGAAAGTTCTGAATTCAAATTGAGTACTAGAATGGATCTTATATTATATTATGTTGTACACTCGTCTGGAACGTATGTTTACATTTTCAGCTGTTGAGCACATTCAGTTTGTTGACATGAAAGTTGGAAGTGTTTCACGTGATCGGAGATTTTCTGCAATCGAAAAAAGTAGATCAAAGAATTTGCATCAAATTTTGTGTGAAAAATTGAATGAAATGCTCAAAAATCCTTGAAATGTTAACAGTGGCATACAGTAATTGTACACTGAGTCAAAAAAATGTTTACAAGTGGTATAAGCTTTTCACAGAAGGTCGAGAAGATGTGAATAACGATGCTCGCCCTGAACGATCCAGCACATCAACCACAGACGAAAATGTTGAGAAAGTGGAGAAAATTGTTATGGCGAATCGGCGAATCACTATTAGAGAAGTTGCTGAGGATGTCGGCATATCAATGGCTCTTGCCATGGAATTTTTTCGGAAATTTTGGGCATGAAGTGTGTGGCAGTGAAGGTCGTTTCAAAATTGCAAAATTTCGACCAAAAAAACCGTTACATAAGCATCGCTCAGGAATTGTTGAATGACGTTGACGAAGACCCTGACTTGCTCAAGATGATCCTAATTGGTGACGAATCATGAATATATGGTTATGACCAAAGTCAAATCTCATCAGTTCGGACTTCCATTGTCTGATAAGATATGAATTAATTTAAAATTCCTGAAAGAATCAATAAAATTGTAACTACGTGGTAGGAAATCATAATAAAGGAGAAGCGTTGAAGTTTGTAAATTTCCTTATATAGGACGAAACTGCAGTAAGGTTAGTTATGAATGAAAATTCATGAAAGGACTACTTTTTTCGACGAATCACTGAGAGAGTCCAAGGCCATAGCAAAAAGTGCATATCAAAACTGCTTTGAGGATTGTTGAAAACGTGGGCACAAGTGTATCATAACTGAGGAGGACTACTTTGAAAGGGACACAATAGAAATTGATGAATAAACAAATAGTTTTTGAACAAATGAAAATTCACCTAATTTTTTTAACAGAGAGCGTATGTCAAAGTTGAGTAAATTATATCAGTTCCACTGTTAGGAATCACACGTTAAAAGGTAAGACCTCGTTAATCCTTAGCTCGCACAAGTTTCGACTTCTGAGGGTTGTCTTTCGTAGGGGTGCGACAGCTGGTTAACGGAAAAACATATTTTGAACAGATTTTTTGAAACAGAATTCGAACAAGTGAGTACAAGGAAAGAAGTTTTGAGATATTGTTGATTTCGAATTTGCACCCAAACTGCACACCCATGAACACTAAAATTTGAAATTCCTAAACTGATAATATCGTAACCTCTATTGCCCAAATTCATTCTCAATCCACAAAGCTCAATACCGAAAAAGCATAACTCAGAAAAAAAACTCAGTTCACTGTTCCCCAATTCATATAACAAAATGTAATGTTATTCCGAGTTTTCCAGTACGAACAAGGATGTTTTTTAATTTATTTAATTTAAATAATTGATGATTGAGGTTAGATAACATTTGAACTGACTATAGGGATACGCTACATAAAAAAATGGACATGATCAACAGTATTTTGTCGTCTTCATCTCTTCACATATACGATAGGTGGCACGGTGGTTACCTCAAAATGCGTTTTGGTTTAACCAAGTGTCCGAGACTATTTCGGATTGTTTGAGATTTTTTGCTTGTACGCATCATGTCTTGCGCAGTTTTCAAACAGTTTCGGATGTTAAAACCAGAACAAACCTATTGTGCACTTTTGACAGCGTTTCCCCCAATCTTCGAACTACTTTTCAAACTCGATCCCTGGGATGAATTTCAGCTTTTTCAGCAATGCACTTTCAATATCATGTGAGCTTGTGAAACAAGAGCCCTTTCAAGTTCTCTTCATTTTTGGAAATTTTTAAATAGAAAATAGTCACACGGAGATATGTCCGACGAAAATGAAGGTTGAGAATATGGATCAGTGAATTGTTTGTCCACAAATCTGGTTTTTTTCGGTTTGCTTTCAGCGGTTGTTGGTGTGCTGGGGTGTTCGTCATCTTCAACGTCTCCACGGTCATCTCAGAAACGCTTATGACACTCGTAATTTGTTTACTATAGGCTTTTGTCAACATTTTATCCATTTTGCTACGCTCTATTGATTTTTCACGAAAAACTCTAATACTTTGTTTGAACAAACGAAAAACGTCAAGGCTCTTCAAAACACTTCCAACCTAAGCGACTGCCTCAGACAAAGTGAACAATGAATACAGCTGAAAATTCCGTCACACTTCAGGAGCATGTGAACTGAAATGATACAAAAATAATTGACAATCGTATCCTTCAAATCCATGAATTTGAAAACATTATGCTATTTTCTGACCATACCTCGTATATGTTTTATGGCCACATAATTTGAAATAACGAGATATGATTAACAATCAGAGTAATAAAGAAAATAGATAATGGTCTGACTATTGAAAATTTCTTCTTAAAATGGCAGATTTCATAATTATTATCCGAGACTTATATTTTGCATATTGTCTTATTCTTTCATTTCTTTTACGGAAACTGTTGATTTTGATCGAAACACGTGTCGAGATTGGGTTTGGTGTTGGAAAAAAACTCCACCAAAGGTTCCAAACAGTGCATCATAAGTAAAAAAAAAAGTAATGTTTTCAACACTTCTTCTCTGGTGATTCAAAAACCTGAACTGTAAGACAAATTGCGGTATTGAATTAGGCTTCGAAATCTCGCGGTATAAAATGTTTACGAAATCATGACACGGGTTTTTCTATGCAATAGCTTTCTCAATCCTTGGTGAAAATCAAAATGAACCCCATAAGCAAGATGTTTACGAATTTCATAAAAATGACAGATGCTGATGAACATTTCCTACTCTTCTGCTGCTGATACAGTACATAATAGAGTAATGATACGGAGTACCAGTTCAGCAAATAGTACAGTTTTGATATTTGATGAAAAGTGAATTGAAAGGAATGATTACGGAAACACTGGAGTAAATTGGAATTTTTTTTCGTTTTTCCGAGAAACTGATCTAAGGATATGCCTTTTAAATCAAATACTTTCCTGACTTTCATGAAGTTAGATATGGTTTCACTTTTCACCAATTTCAAACAATTATTAGTAGTAGTAGTATTTGTTAATCGCTAGACATGCACATTAAAAATTATTGTTAGTAAAGGTATAGACCACATACTCCCAAAGAAAGGCACCGAAGCAGTCTCTCCTTTAGCCACTATGGATGGACCTCCCATGTACACCATTGCGATGCTGTCGATGAAGGAAGAATGAGGAGCTAGAGCCACCACCGGTGCTGATTCCCTGGTAGATTGCTTCCCGAAAACCTTCAGGCGAAATCCTCCAAGAATGAACATGCAGCGTATTAGTCTTGCACATATGAAGCGTACTATACTGCCAAAGAACCGCAAATACATTATTTGGTGATCACAAACTGGGTTAGAAGAATCACTAACTCTGTCTATCATCAATTTCAGAATGTCATCTCTTGTGATATATTAAGAAATACAATTCTCACGAAGATGCGTTCAAAAAAACATTGTTTCGGTGGTACGATGTATTCAAGTCAAAGTTGATTCCTCTGTAGATATCTTCAAAATTTTACCCTTGTAGATATCTCAGACACTAATGAAAATGTAATTCTCAAGGAGATAATTTTAGCGATATGAACTCAGTTGTGTATCAGTGAGGATTGGAAAATTTGGGATTCTTCAGAATACCTGTGGAGAATGAAGAAGATTCAAATTTGAGGATCCTGGTCACCAGAGTTCAAGAACAAACCATTCATGATCCAACGGCACACATAGCTGTTTTGTATCTGCCCCAAGTATCCTCAGTCGTGCTAGGTGTACCAAGTAACCATAGAGACCAATGCAGAAGTATTAGACATCTTCTACGAACAGGCCGTCTATGGGATCGGCATGAAACTCAAACTTTGTTTATCCAAGATGAAAGAGGGTCTAACAGCTAACTGTTACAATATCACAAATATTGATATCGACCACCAAATGAAAAATTGCTTCCACATCGAGGAAACTAGATTGAAACATCTCCTGTCGGTGTTTTTGTAACTCTAGATATGTAACGCAATTGAATCAATTAAGAAGAAAATTCAACTTGATAAAATGATCACCAATAATTGCTGCTCATATGCCATTGAATACTGCTCTCCAAAATGACATGCTCTCTTTAATAGGACCGGAGATGAATATATATTGAAAATTCTTATGATATTCCTTGAAGAACTTGATTCATCTCTGAATAATAATTTTGAAGATAGTTGGGATTTTTCACAATTTGTTGTCAAAACCACTGACTGACAAAATAATCCTGTACTAATTGGTTATGGAATGGTCAGAGTTGATTTGCTCACAAAACCCTTCAAATGGTAGAGTAATACCAAATTACAATTTGATTTTCGCTGTACCAACTGGAGGAAATCCATGACCTTTTATAGAATTACTTCCTCTATCTGTGCAGAATCATAATTGATCCTCTGTCTTTCCAGTTCACACACATTCGCAAATAGTAGTTATTTTCTTCTCCGTGTAGTTCTTATTCACTTATAGAGTGGTAGAAACCCACAGAATGTTTTTTCCAAAAATGGAAATAGATGTAAAGCTTCACAAAGTCTAATTATAACCATGTTTCGCGGTGATGATTCAAAAAAAATATGTATGACATAAATAGACTCACACAAGTATTCCATTTCAGCTTTGTCGAATTCTTTGGAAACCGCAGGTTTTTTAAAATCAAACATATTGAATCAGATATCGAGAAAATTCATCTGTATCTCTTGTTAAACGAATTTCCATTTCATATTAAAAATTTTGAAAATGAATGAAAAGAAGAGCATGTTTGCATGTTTACATGCGAATGGTTGAACTTTCTGAATAATATCAAATATCATAAAAGAAACTGATGTCTTCTTGAAATTTTTTCGTTTCTAATTTCCCATTTCTCCCCGTTCATATACTACTGAGTTTGTATTGCTAATATCAATCACCAAGAAATATTGAAATATTGGGAGAAACTATAACCCTGAAATTGATGAGAGTATTTGAAAAGAGTAAGCATACTTTCAACATCGGGTGTATCTATTTAATTGTTCACGACATTTCGTTACAATTGTTGATGACAAATCCTGTAAAAACTGTTTCATATTCAAAAAGAAATCAATTCCTGGTGAAAGGTGAGATGGAAATTTAGGGCATGGCATCAGTGGGATTCTAAAGAATCAAATATTCAAACAAATCTTGAGCGGTGAAGTACAAAAAAAATAGGAGACTCTGATGCTGAACCAACTTCGAATAAAATATTCCTACAAACAAACTTCAAAATATCGAATGACTTCTTCAGGAAATGCCATGATGAAACGTATGTTCATTTCAAATAGTACACCATAGCAACAAACAGGTTGAGTTACAAATAATTACATGTTTGGGACATGTAATTCTGCTTGCCAGCATCAACTTATCCAAACGTGCCTGGAAAGTTTGTCTCTCTGTTTTGCTATTCCATCAGTTGACGGTACCAATGAAAATGTATGAGGAAAAATTGGGTTGCTTGGATTTAGAATGTCCAGAAGTTCTGAAAATTTGCCTGGAATCATTCGAAAATACTGGAAATTTCTCCTCGTCTTCTGTTAGGTCATTGAGAAGATGATGAAACTATTCCAGATTTGCCCTATTTTGATTCATGGGATGGACCACATCCTTCTTTTTTTGTGACTATTTTCTTCTTCAACCAATAATGCGGCTACTATAAAGCCCTCTTAGTCGTCAAGAACTGCTAGTGATAGACATGTTTCTGTCACCGCTCGATGTCAAATGAAATTCCCTTGAAATCGAACAAACAGTACCTTCAGTATGATGGTTGTAGCTGGACAAGTGGGGGATGCTACTACCTGTCGCCATTGGGCGACGGAGAGCGCCGTGCTGTGCTGTGCTGGGTAAGTGGGCGACAAGCTTTAAGCTTATCGCCCACTTGTCCGGCAAGCTTAAAGCTTGTCGCCCACTTGTCCGGCACAACACGGCCCGTCCCGTCAAAATACGGACAGGAGTGGAATAATAAAAATGAATGGACAACCGCCAAGTAGCCCGCCAAGAGCGTCCGACCCCGAGAAGGATTCCAACTCTCCTATCCTGACCGGCAAATAACGGAGCGTGCTGTGACGAACTGGCCAAGTGAGCACGTCGCCAGCCAGCGCTTGCGCACATAAACTTTTCTAAAAGTGCAAGTGCCTGATAAGTTTCTGTCTTTCTGTTTTACTATTCCATCAGTTGACAGCAGTGTCAGACGGTACCTATGAAAATAGACGAGGAAAAATTGAGTTGTTTGTTAAGGCAGACCTTAGAATATCCAGAAGTGCTGATAATTTGCCTGGAGTCATTCAAAAATATCAGGCGACGGACACCGCCGTGCTGTGCCGGACAAGTTTTAGAAGTCCGCTTAATCAGAAACAACAATAAAATGTTGGTTTGCTGATTTCAAACGTAGTCGTGGAGATACCGATAATGCAGAACGCAGTGGACGTCTGGTGTTACTGCACCAAAAAATCCACAAAATCGTTTTGAATGATCCAAAAGTATAGTAGCGTGAGTTACCTGACATTGTACGGATATCAAAATAAAGTGATGACTTTATATTGCATGAGCCTTTTACTATGAGAAATATCTGTTCGAAGTGGGTGTCACGCGAGCTCACTGTTGATCAAAAACAAGAACGTCTTGATGATTCTATTCAGGGTTTGGCTATGTTTAAACATAACGAATCAAAAATGTTTGCGTCTCACAATAAATGAAACATGGATCCATCACTTTAATCGGCTGGAAAGGTTATGGCCCCGCTATTTTGGGATGTGCGACTATCTTGAGAAGGAAAATACCAACAACAGTGAATGTTATATAGCGTTACTGGAGCGTTTGAAGGCAGAAATCGCAGAAAACGTCCCCATTTACAGAAAAAAAAAGGGCTGCTTCAACAAGACGATGTCACAAATCAATGAAAAAGATGGTGCCATATTATCACAAAAATGTTTGAATATTCATTGCAAGTGACGTGACTCATTGTACATTTCTATATTATTTCAGAACCTGAATATTGCAAAAATGCCGAAAAGGATGTCAACAAACATGATACATCGATCTGCCAAGGAAGTCTACTGAATGAAGAAAAAAGGTCAGGATAACTCAATATGAGAACAATCAGTGTTTACTGTATATTTTTAAATTGAAAACTAGGAAGATATGTCAGCATTTCGAAATGGATTCCTTTGGCGACTTTTTTGGTGACCCTGTTCAGGAGAAAAGAGATCTTTCACTTTTTATACAAGCTCTTGTTCTTCACTTTACTGTGCTTCACTTTTCAGCTTGTGAATTTCAATCATGGACAAGTATAAATGTCATTCCAGATAAACAAAAAGCAAAAAGCGTTCCACTTTCTCTTACCAAAACTGAACTGATTAGTTATCTCAGGTATTCTGCCATTGTAAGTGCGTTGAAAACACTGACGAATTACAAATGAAACAATTTGTGAAACAACCTGGGAAAAGTTAATCATCATTCTACCAAGCTACAAGGTTACACGCTATATACAAAGCAATTCCGCCAAGCTATAAACTGATTCAAAACAATTTACTTTCTCCATCCGTCCAACGGTTTCTCACGTAATTCTTGTTCAGTCAGACCAAGTAATCCAATGGAAGCGAATATCCATCCTACCATCACAAAAAAGCATATAATGAACACTCTGATGGGTAACAGGACGACCGTTAGTACACCAGTCTGAAACAAAGAATAAACATTATAAATATATACTGAGTATTTCAAGAACTGGAACTATCTAAAACTGGGTTTGAGTTACCGCACAATTTCTTTTTTAAAAGAGGCAATAAGACAAGTGTCTGATTCCGAAACATCGGTGTTTAACGATCTTCCTAAATATCTAACTGAAGCAAAAGTTCTCATGTATGCAGACGACACATGCAAAATAATATCAGATTACTCAAAACTCGCACTTTCAGAACAATAAACTAATTCAAAGATTGGTGCTATTGTAATAGATTATATTGAATGTTTTGAAAACGGTTTGCATTGAATATCATACAGCTCAAAAATTACCATCAGATTGCTGTACATCGAAGTCTGCAAAATTTCTCGGAACCATATTCAACTGTAATCTATCTTGGGAGGCACGAATTAGTATCCAGTGCCTGTAAAAATCAACGTGTTTTTCTATGTATTGACTGTTTTGAAATCTATGCCAGGTAGGGATACTTTAATGAGTGTCTATTATTCATATGCTCACTCTGCGATTTCCTATAGTATCATAGTATGGGGGCAAGGGCGTGATAACCAAAGGGTGTTTGTATCACAAAAAAGAATATTGCGATTAACTTTTAACCTCCCTTATCAAACCTCGTGTCGCGATATATAAAAACCAAAAAATTCTTACTGTTACTTCTATTTACTTATATAAATTACTGAGCCATATCTACCGAAACCGAAATGTACTCAAAAAAAATTTTTATATTCACAACCACATCACAAGGCATAGTTGCAAAAAAATCGAACCACACTTTCCACAAAAATCACCTCTGATGATTGGAGCGTCTTACTTCAATAGGCTTCCTGATAATATAAAAAATAGTAACACGTACGGAATTGTCAGAAGTAGGTTAAGGAAAATTTTAACGAATCATTGTTTTTATAGCCTAGGGGGATTTGATAACTTCCTTTCTAGCAGTGTTAACAGAGTTCATGGAGTTCATTGTGCTTTATGATTTCTATATTTATATCAAGATGTCTTGTATACTTATTTTTATGTGTCATTATATTAGGGTTACATCCTCACCAATGTAGTTTGTCCATGTATGTATGTGTATATACTCTATTTTGCCAGCGTAAATGATCTTTTAACCTATAAACTAGTACTTTAGGAGATACTTTTTTTGTAGTAAGTGGGTAGGTTTTACACCTCACCAGACACATCCAATCTATTGTATAATAGGAAAACGGATTTAACAAAATTTGATTTGATTTGAACCTTTCTTCGATGTTACAGGCTATCAAGTTTGCACGTGATGTCCGCGTCTCCAATCAGGCGGATGGCTCTTTTCTGGATGGAATCCAGCAACTTTAGGGTATGTTTGGGGGGAGAGCTCCATACATGAGAACAATACTCCAAAGAAAGTCTGATCTGAGGTTTATGAAGCATCAAAAGTTGCTGATGTGTTTACAGTTTTCTCGATCTAAGTGTTCCAAGTTTCTGAGAAGCAGCGTTTGCAATTCCAGCAACATGATTGTGCCAAGACATATCGGTGTCAATTTTAACCCCCAACAAACTTATCGAAGCAGAAAGCGGAATTGTCCTCCAAACAAAGTAAGTAAGCAACAAATTTCAAAATAAACTCTTTACAAAAATGTGTAGATCACACAAACTGAAGGGAAAATCCGTCTGGAAAGGACTACTCCCATATAAAAATTGAATTACACGAAAGAAAAATCACTTTCGAACAACTACTTTTGTAAGAACATTTTGTAAAATGAACTTTTGAAAATACATATCAAATGTCGAAAGCATAAAATGTCTAGATGTCATATTGGATACACAAAAAAGATTTCTCTACAATAGGACTCCATAGTCTTTTCATCTTCTACATTATCAGTTCGTAAATTCAACAGAGACTCATTGACCTTTTCAGATGTCCAATCTTCCATTGACAAGTGCAGCAGCCCGACACTTTATAAATATGGTTTACTACCAGGTTCAAAAATGGTTGGAACATGATTTTGAACCCCAGGAATGGGGTTGGGTGCTGCAAAATCAACTCATACCAGTTGCTGACCACAATATCACAACACAGTAACCATGGTCTTATTTTGGTGGTTCAAACCTTTGGGAAATATCTGGGTGACTCACTAGCGATATATAATGCTCCTAAATCTCAGGTCAATATCGATCATATTCTACATACTCAGTTCGTAAAATCAACACAGCCTCATTGATCTTTCCAGTTGTCCAATCTTCCACCGACAAGTGCACCAGTTCGCCAGCTTATGAATATGGTTGACTATCAGGTTCAAAAATGGTTGGAATATGATTTAGAACCTCAGGAGTAGGGTTAGGTGCTGCAAAATCAGTTCCTGGGACCAATAACAACAATATTACTACCAGTTCCTGAGGACTTACGCAATACATCATTTTATTATTGTAAGAAAGGATGTGGTGTGAGTTGCAATGCCATTTAGCTTGTGGCCACTGCAATGGATAACCTTGAATCATACCAGTCGCTGACCACAATACCACAACACAGTAACCATGATCTTTTTTTAGTGGTTCAGGTTTTTGGGAAATGACTGGGTGACTCACAAGCGATAAATAATGCTCCTAGATCTAGGGACAATATAGATCATCTTCTACATACTCAATTCGTGAAATCAACAGAGCCTCTTCGACCCTTCCAGTTGTCCAATTTTCCACCGACAAGTGCACCAGCCCGCCAGCTTATAAATATGGTTGACTACCAGGTTCAAATATAATTGGAACATGATTTTGAACCTCAGGAGTAGGGTTGGGTGCTGCAAAATCAGTTCCTGGGACCAATAACAACAATATTACCACCAGTTCCTTAGGAATTACGCAATACATCATTTGGTTATCGTAAGAAAGGATGTGGTGTGAGTTGCAATGCACTTCAGCTTGTGGCCACTGCGATGGAGAAAGAAGCTTGAATCAAACCAGTCGCTGACCACGATACCACAACACAGTAACCCTGGTCTTTTTTTGGTGGTTAAAGTCTTTGGGACATGCCTGGGTGACTCACTAGCGATAAATAATGCCCCTAGATCTGAGGACAATATAGATCATCTTCTACATACTCAGTTCGTGAAATCAACAGAGCCTCATTGACCCTTCCAGTTGTCCAATTTCCCACCGATAAGTGCACCAGCCCGCCAGCTTATAAATATGGTTGACTACCAGGTTCAAAAATGATTGGAACATGATTTTGAACCCCAGGAATAGGGTTGGGTGCTGCAAAATCAATTCCTGGGCCCAATAACAACAATATCACCACCACCTCCAGAGGAATTACGCAATACATCATTTTGTTATCGTAAGGAAGGATGTGGTGTAAGTTGCAATGCACTACAGCTTGTGGCCACTGCAATGGATAAGCTTGAATCATACCAGTCGCTGACCACAATACCACAACATAGTAACCATGGTCTTATTTGATGGTTCAAGCCTTTGGGAAATGCATGGGTGACTCATCGGTGTCCAATCACTGTCCTAGACGTCTCCTTTTTTTGTGGAAGACCCATTTTTTATCACACGTGACGATCCGATCTAAAAAAAGATTGTTCTGGTTGCACTAAAGTAAAGAGAAACGATCTGCAAATCGTTTAAATCGTCGGAAAACAATTTATCGAGCTTTCTAACCATTCCAACATGTTCCAAACCATCAAAAACCGCATGGGAGCCAATGCCCAATCCATTGCCAAATGCCTGGTTGATTTTTCGNATGTTTACAATTTTATTGCAAACGAAGGCGATAGTGGAAACTAGAACATTGGCAATAACATTGTCAGCATAAAGTAAGTATTGTTTTATTTCAAATACATGTGTAATACCATTGATGAAATTAGATGTAGTCCTTAATTCAAAAACGAAAAGACATGCAGGATTCACATGGGGCATGCGATGAAATATAATCATTAAATTATGCATATGCTCAATGTCAACTCGTGAAACGTGTTATTCTGTTCAAATAAATGTTATACAGGATCATGTGACTGAATAGTAAATATTATGCGAAATATTATGCATCTAGTGTTCTGTGGCACAATTTTTTTTTGATAACGAAGAAACACATATTCATATTCATCGCTATTTTCAACCAGAATTTTTGTAACAAATATAAGTTGGATTCATTTTTGAGAACACGATTTCATAAAGTTGTTATAGTGTCTTCTTGTTACTCAAAATATTTCACTATTCTCACAAAATACTTTCAAACTACTGGTAAGTGTTCATTCAATTTATGACAATGACAACCACCTGTGAGTTTCTTCTACCGAGGTCTAATTATTAAACATCTTTCAACTCAGACAGTTAATAAGTGTCCTAATTCATATCGCCTGAAAACAGGAAATTACCAACTCCCTAACATCGCTGATTTACTGATGATTAAAAAAAACTGATTTTTAGAACAGCAAAATGAAAATGTGTACTAGTTACCAGCTCATTATCTTTCAATCCGAGATTAAACACCTAATATTACTGAACTAATATAACCTTCAATTTGGAACAAATCGTGGTTGCGAGGCAGTAGCCCATGCTGCACGATCTTATATAAATCACAACCTTGACCCTGTTGAAAAAGTTTTTCTGAAACTTGATTTTAAGAATGCATTTAATACTCATAGATAGGAATTTCATGTTACATTCGGTGGCTAACGCCATACAGACATATACCCTTTTATTGAACAATATCACAGTGAACCTTCTTTCTTGATATTTGGTAACGAAATTATAATGTCCGAACAAGGAGTACAGCAGGGAGATCCACTTGGACCACTATTGTTATGTCTTTCTATCCATCATATTCAACGGCTGGTTTCTGGATGATGGTTCAATTGGTGACAAAGCAAATGTGGTATTAGAAAATTTTTGTAAAATTTTTGAACTGAATTTCGAGAAATGTGAACTCATTTTTCTGGTTGAACAGGACCCTAACATCATCGATCAATTTAACCTGATATCTCCTGGTATACGAGTGATT